AGACACGTGTCTCACCCCAAATGGTCAGAATAAGGTTGACTAAAAAGTCAACTTATCGCATGGACAAGACACGACAAGTCCAGATTGAAGTTTGTCGCATCACAAAGACACGACAAACCCGAAGGGTAAGGTTATCGAATCACATAGATACAATAAAAGGGCAGGTTATCGAATGACATTGATGCGATTAGAAAACTTGTCGCATCTTATTGATGCAATAACTCGGTTTTGTCGCAACAAATTGATGCTATGAACAGGGTTTGTCGCATCAAACTGATGCGATAAGGATCTTTGTCTCATCAAAGTAATATGATAACCAATTTTTGTCGCATCAAGCTGATGCGATAACACAAAGTTATCACATCAAGCTAATGTGAAACAACACTTAGACATTTTTCAATAAGTTTCATAAAAAGGATTTTCCAGCTTAAAGAATGTCCAACCTTCAATTGGTTTGAAGCACACAAAAAAAAATTAGGTGTGCTCCCCCTCAAAAGATGCTTTAAATATAAAATTTAAAAACAGCTCCCCCTAAAACATATACCAGAATAAAAAAATAAGAACACACTCCCCCTCAAAAAGTACGTACCTTATATTTCCAAACGCCTGAAAACAACAACACACATCAGTAACTAAAAGCCTAGACTATGTAGAACAGGTTGTACAAAAATAGACTTTGACAATATTGGTATTTATAGAAAAACTACAGGCTTTAAGATTTAACATACCGAGCTTAGAGACAAGAAAGTTGAACCTCTTCTCATCCAAAGCATTGGTAATTAAATTTGCAAGCTGAAACTTAGTGTTGACAAAGTACAGTTCAATTGTACCTCGTTCTACATAGCCTTTTATAAAATGATACCTGATGTCTATGTGCTTGGTTTTCATGTGTTGGACCGGGTTGCAGGATATTGCAATGACACTTTTGGAGTCACAGTAGATGGGAATCTTGGTGAAACTGAAGTCGTAGTCCTTCAGTTGTGTGTGCATCCAGATGACTTGTGAGCTACAACAACGTACTCAGCTTCAGCCGTTGAGGTAGACACGCAGTTTTGCTTCTTAGAAGCCTAGTTCACCAGTTTATCTCCATGAACTGGATGTGCCCGAAAGTGCTCTTGCTATCCAGGTTGCATCCAACATGATCAACGTTGGAGTAGACAATCAACTCATAACTTATTTCCTTAGGGTACCACAAGCCAATATCACAATATTAAAATACATTTGAAAACAAGTAAATGAGATTCTTTAGGCTTAAACTGAAATCGAGCATAGAAACATTTTGAAAACATAAAATACATTAAAAGATCCCATCATTCCTCTATAGATTTTCGGATCAACATCTTTTCCGTTAGGATCAGAGTCGAGCTTGGAACCCGGTGTAATCGGAGTTTTCAGTAAGGCACAATTTTCCATATTAAATTTTCTTAGCATTTATTGAATGTATTTAGCATTTCTTGGTGGATGTCGGTGTACGGTGAAAGATGTCGGTGGATGGTGATAAACGTTGGTTTACGGTAAGTGTGTTTCTCTATGGTGGAGTCGATGGACGGTGGGGATGGTGATAATGATCCCCTCCCACCGTCTTTTTATATAAACCGCTACGTAAAAAGACAAAATAGATTGTCAAATTGTTGTTAAATTATCGATAAAAACATTATGATTTCATTTATGCGTTTAAAAAAAGTAGTAAAAATTGTAAAACTTGACGTGATTTCATATTGTGTTAAAGGTTGTGATGGTAAATTGTGTTTAAGAGTTAAGAGTTGTAAGAGTAGAAGTGTTTGGATCACTATAATTTTATAGAGAATATTACAATATTATATATATACACACACACACACTACATTTGGTCCTAAAAAAGACAAAATACCAGTCAAAATCGCCCCCATTCCTTGAAAAACACCTCTGAAGTGTCAAATCGGTGCGTTATAGATTGTCCTCATTAGATGACAAAAATAGGGTCAAAATTGCCCCCGAGGGGTGATCTGGGGGGGGTAGGTGGGAGCGATTTGCATATATCAGGTATAATATCTGATTTTTGCCCCCCAAATTCAGATACACGTGGAACCTCTCTGTACCATTATGGTCAAAAATTGCCCCATATAGTCAAATAAGTGGTTATTTTCTTAAATTTGTCTTAAAGGTGATTATTTTATTAATATAAAATGTATAAAATGATTATTTTGGTTAATTTCCCATTAATATCTCATAACTCAACTAAAGAACTAAAGCGAAGAAAAAAAATAGAAATATGGGCTAAAGTGTAAAATTTTAAAATGGTACAAGGGCTTGGAAGTGGATTTTAGAAAATTTAAAGTGGTTGGGTGAATGGTGATGGTCGCTGAAAATGAAAATGCAGGGAGGTGAATTTCATGTCCCTCAAAGTTGAGGGATAAGTTATGTAAATATGATATAGCATATGATAGTGGTTATAGTCTGGTATAACTCCATAAAATGAGGTTGAATCATCAAAATTGTGTAGAGGAAAAGGATATATATTTCACATATGTTGATGTGTATGTTCGATTCTAGAGGTTGTTTATCAAATGTTTATTGGTAGGTGCAGTGTTATTTTATCTTACTAAGTGTAAGACAAGAATAAGATATCTTACTCCGTAAGATGGATAATGAGGATCAAGAATCTTATTTGATAAACACTTACACTTACCAACAATTTATTTTGATGATCGAGAATGTTATTTAATAAAGTAAATGAAAATGGTTACTTTTGTCAGTAAACGATCCTTTCATGGCCTCTATAGATTGGTATATTTATTACAGTTCAGTTATAGTCATATTGTGGTAGCAATTTGGATAACCAAACCTTTAAACTTAAATTTCATGGATCGTTTGTGTATTAATTTTGATGAATTTTATGCGAAATAGAGGCATATTCATTTATGAATACCATAATGTTTTGAGAATACATGAACCATCTATTTTATGTAGCATTCATGATAAATAATATTCATTTATTATTCAAGGCCATTTATCATGAATGCTAATAAAATAGTTAGTTCATCGATCCTCCAAATATTTACGGTTTTTAAGGGGCTGTTTACTAAACGCTTACCCGGATAAACACTTACCAAGTCACATTACCTTATTGGATGAATATGGTAAGGACCAACAGGCTTGTTCCTGATAATTTTTAGGCTATGGGAGAGATGTAAAAAGGGGCATTCGATAAGTACGATATTTTTTCAATATATTGTTTTTATAATCAGAAATAACATTGAATTCATATAAAACCGCTTTTCCAAGTATTTCTGGACGCAAAATCAATCAATACTCATTTTTAAATTAATATTTTTTACTAGAACATTTTTTTTGTAGTATCGTTGATTTGTTCCGTCATCAAAAACATCCTATGATATACTTTTGGTACATAAAATGACATCATTTGGGCTTACAAAGTCGATTCTTCTGATTTTCGAGTGACACTATGTAAATCAAAATAAATAGGTTGGTTTTCCATGTCATATCATGTTAAGGTTTTTAACACTATTTTAAACTTTTATATTATGTTTTCAAATTTAGGAAGATTAATATCATTTAAAACTTTTATCATGTTTTTGAATTTAGGAAGATTAATACCATTTTAAACTTTTATATTATGTTTTCGAATTTGGGAATGAGAGAAAAGAATGAGAAAAGAAAAGAAAAATAAAAATAAAAAAAGGAAGAAAAAAAGTTTTTTGTTTGTGTTTTTAATAGAAAAGAGAGAGAAAGGAAAAATAATTAAATAAAAATAAATTTTGATATAATTTTTTTCCTTTTCCTAAAAAAATCTCGAGAACAAAATATTTTTCTTTCGTCATTACTTTTCTCTCTTTCCTACGTAAAAGAAGACTAAAAAACATAGGGTTAAAGTTGAAACAAACTTTTCGGGAATCGTCGATTATATAAATTAAAAACTCATGTTGGTGATAGTTTGAGATTTTATTCTTCGTTTAGAGATAAAATAATACATAAGATTTATATACTCAATATTAGATAATAAAGGTTTTATTATTCTAAATATTGATATAAGTTGTACGGTCTTATATGGTTGGTAATTTTTTCAAAAGATGGGGGGTTTTGTTAGCTAATAACAAGAAAATCTATCATATTCTAATATAAAAATAGAATTCACACGAGAATGAAACAATCAAAAGAGTCGATGGGAGATAAATTATTGAGAATATATCAAAGTTTTCGAAACATGTAGTTTTAGACGTCGGTTTTAGATAAGAAAAAACTTAGAAAGAACATTAAATAATATTATATAATGAACGGCATATTAACCTATGTAGGTATTTTTTTTCTCCAATATATTTAATTCATACATGTTTGAGTCTTTAATAGTTAATGTAGTACCAAAATCTTTTCTTGTCATATTAGATACTAAATTTTTTATGTGTCTTGTATTTACTAATTTTTTTGAACTAATATTATATATATTTGAAAAAAAATATGGGCCCTGGGCGTACGCCCGACCCGCCCGACCCCAGGGATGGCCCTGGTCCAGGACCAAGAATCTTGCATAGTAAGAGCGAGACAAGGGTCAAGAGTCTTACACGGTAAGTAAGAATGACGATTTTTATCATGATAAACACTTACTAAGTAGTTGCATACAATGTTGTTTTAGTAGACTAAAGTCTTACCCAGTAAGTAAGTTGTAGTGTTAAATTTTTTACCGATAAACACTTATCGAGTATGTATTTGATAAACGACGCCTAAATAAAATTTTCTCACACGAAATAATAGGTAATTAAGTTATCTACGAGTGTGTGCAAACAGGGAGTATAAACTACAAAGAGTGCATTTTCATATTAATGTTGAATGATGTTCGCATAGTTCTAACTTTTTAAGTATAGGGCAAAAATGAATATAGTTTCAGAAAGTTGGGCAAATTAGAGAAGTTTAAAACTATGGGGACGTCGGTGGACGTGAATTGCAACTTTTATTTTTATTATTTTATGTTGGCAAATTTCTCTTCCACATAAATTGACCATTTCGTTAGGGTTTCTACCACATACAGAGCTGACCCCAGTCCAAGCTGCCGCAGACCATCTTCTTGATCATCTCCTCCTCTTCATGTAAGAACTCTTGGCCTCAGATCTAGGTTTTTATCATTTTCAAATCAATTTTGTTACAATTATTTGATTTATATAATTGATGAAACTTCTCAATCGTTACTGATGAAATCTGTGAAGTTCTTGAGTTAGATTTGTGAGTTTTGTAGTATGTTATGTATTGAGATTGTAGTTTTCATATCGATCTTTATCTTGTTAGATCACTCTTTGTTGAATGGTACGAGAAATGGTATACCGAGTTGTACTTTGGGATTTACGAAATCGAATTGAGTAGTGATAGTTAATTATTACTTGTTAAAGAATGTGTAGATGTAGCCGGTTCCCCCTTTGATATAGTTTCCAGCTTCGATTAGAAGAAGTTGAAGTAGCCGTGTAACAAGATTGACTAGGGTTTTGGTGATTTTGGGAGAATAATGGGTCTATTAAACTTGTAGCTTATAGCTTGCGATCTGTGATCTTTGTTAAAGTTATGCGTCGTCTATATTTTCACCCATGGAGAGAGGATGATTTGATATGTGAGCTATGCCATTATTTGTAGTATGATTTTATTTGGAATCAACATGGATTCATTCTTGTAAAGCCACATCGTATGTAAATCGCTTGTTTGGAAACTGCTTTATTTTCTTTCTGTTTTATTTTTAGTGATCACCGTAGCTTGAAAACTCTTGTGGAAAAAATGTAAATATACAACTAACTGGAATGTTGTAGAACTCATGAACAGAGGATGCAATACTGATTATGCTTATAAATTGTAATTTGCTGCATTGATGATGGAAGTGACTGTATTAAATTCTAACATTATGTAGTTTTTTCGTTTTATATCATGCCTGAATGTATGTTTGGTTTGGCCTGAATTTTATATCCTGATATACACATAACCAATCCAATATTTGTTTGCTGGCTTTAACAGAGAAATTATCTACAATGTCGGACGGTCAAGAAACTGATAAGAATATAGAGATATGGAAGATTAAGAAGCTAATCAAGGCATTGGAAGCTGCAAGAGGCAATGGTACAAGCATGATTTCTCTTATTATGCCTCCACGGGATCAAATTTCTCGAGTCACCAAGATGCTTGGCGATGAATTTGGAACTGCTTCAAATATTAAGAGCAGGGTGAATCGCCAGTCTGTTTTAGGTGCTATAACATCCGCCCAGCAGAGACTCAAGCTATACAACAAGGTTCCTCCAAATGGGCTTGTGCTTTATACTGGAACCATAGTCACCGATGACGGAAAGGAGAAAAAGGTTACAATTGACTTTGAACCCTTCAAGCCAATTAATGCTTCTCTTTACCTATGTGACAACAAGTTTCATACCGAAGCTCTTAATGAACTTTTGGAATCTGACGATAAGTTCGGTTTCATTGTTATGGACGGTAATGGAACCCTTTTTGGGACATTGAGTGGCAACACGAGGGAGGTGCTACACAAATTCACGGTTGATTTGCCGAAGAAGCACGGACGAGGAGGGCAGTCAGCCCTGCGATTTGCACGTCTTCGAATGGAAAAGCGTCACAATTATGTGAGGAAGACAGCTGAACTTGCAACACAGTTTTATATCAATCCTGCCACTAGTCAGCCGAATGTTTCTGGACTTATACTTGCTGGATCTGCTGATTTTAAGACTGAGCTGAGCCAATCTGATATGTTTGATCCTCGTCTTCAGGCTAAAATTTTGAATGTGGTTGATGTTTCCTATGGAGGTGAGAATGGTTTCAATCAGGCTATTGAACTGTCCTCCGAAATCCTTGCCAATGTGAAGTTTATACAAGAAAAGCGTTTGATTGGCAAGTATTTCGAGGAGATCAGTCAGGATACTGGTAAGTATGTATTTGGTGTGGATGACACTTTGAAAGCCTTGGAGATGGGTGCTGTTGAGATTCTCATTGTGTGGGAAAATCTGGACATCAATCGATATGTGCTTAAAAATAGCACTACAAGTGAAATCACCATAGCTCACTTTAACAAGGACCAGGAGGCTGATCAGAGTAACTTCCGAGACTCTGCCACTAATGCTGAGTTGGAAGTTCAGGAAAAGACGTCGTTGCTCGAGTGGTTTGCTAACGAGTACAAGAAATTTGGATGCACGCTCGAGTTTGTGACGAACAAATCTCAAGAGGGATCGCAGTTTTGTAGGGGTTTTGGTGGCATTGGTGGGATACTTCGCTACCAGCTTGACATTCGATCATTTGATGATCTTTCTGATGATGGGGAAAATTATGAATCAGAATAGCAATCAACCACTTGTTACATGCCGGTGCAGGGGAATGGGGCCGAGAGCCAGCACCGGGGCACTTTTTAAGCATCTTATCGACCTCCGTGTTCAAGGAAATCTCACAAAGGTGTGTTCTGTTTATTTTCTTGTTTTAACTTTATTTCTATGCATGCCATATGGTGGTTAAGACTAGGATATGGGTAGGGTTAGCAATGGGAAGGGGGTAAACCTGTTATGTTTCCATCTGTTGGATATGAATATGGGTAAAACTAAAGAAATTTTATACTTTTACCCTATATTTTAACGGGTAGGATATGGATAAATGATTTTTCTTTAAGCAGCAACACCAAACGATTGATGCAGTTATAATCACTGTCATATAAGTTATTGACGTAGTTTCTCTCCAGCCTTCATAATATGAGTTCCCTTTATCCCTATAACAAGATTTGGGCTCTTATCATCCAAGGTAAGTATCGACTATATTCATTTTCGTTTTGATTTTCTATGTTAATTTCAACCAAATGCATGCAACTATTCGTCGGTAACAAGATGTTTTTTTGTTAGCATTGCTATATTTTTGTGGTTAAAAAATGACTTGTTTGTATTTAAAAGAGTATATTACAATGTTTTTGCTAGAAGAAGTTGGATGATAATTAATTACCATGTTTATGAATTTATACTTGGTTCAAATGTTTGATGTTTTTTTAATATTATTTGCAATTCAAAATCGAGGTTTTTAATCGTTTATCCATTGCCTGGTTCGTTATCCATTATTTTGATGGGCAAGGATTTTGTAATATGGACCTGATATATTAAATGGATATGGTAACTGAATTCAGATCCTACCGCTCATTTTGCTACTCTTAACAAGAACACCCTGAAATCTCATGATTGAACGGTGTTCTTGACATTTTGATTTTTTATTTAGCATGCAATGTAGAGTGGGATGAACCTTTGTTTGGGGTTTGAAGTCGACCGGATGGATCGTATAACAATTTGTTTATTTGTGTTGAATCAGTTGGAATAAGTTGCGTGGACATTCCCCTGGAACTTGAAGCGGTTGCACAAGAGCAATTTCAACATGTTTTTAACCGTATACGCTTGTTGCTTGATTGTGGATTGGATTTTTCGCGACATAGTTTGATATTGACTCGTAGATTTGTAAGAACCTTCTTTACTTTTTGTTGCTTTCAATATCCGTGGCTTGAGAACTTGCTCAGCAAATGCTTGAATCTTGAGGTGAGATTATATGGATAGACCAAAATTTCAAGAACGCTTTCATTTTGGTTGGATGGTTTGCTTAATTTTGCATTTCTTGCACGAGGTGGGTTTTTATGAGACAAAGTACTATTAGTCGGGTTAACAATTAATGGCTTCATGGGTTTAGATGGCTACAATAGTAAACCAAACATATAAACATGGCAATATGTAACAACTTGTTAATTGGTGTTTCATAGCCGTTATGCATACCAATATTACACAAGCAACTTGAACATGAACAATCGAGATCTTGTAATCAACCGCTATAATTTGGGGGTTGTCGCTAATCGTACACAATCAAACCCATAGGGATCCTCGGGTGCACGTGTTGACGTATGTACCGCTTAGTCCAGTCTAAGAGGTAATCTTGCAACGTATGTACCGACTATCATGCGCCAATCAAAGTATCTTGTCATGTTTCTACTGACATCTTGGTACTTTGCCAAGCATACTTTCCATGCATACCAACCAACATATCATGAACTATGGTCATATGTCAAGAATAGAGCTCAAAATCGTAAACACTTAGGGGCGTTTGGTTTTCAGAATGATTTCTGAATGACTGGAATCTGTCAAAAGAATTATAATGAAATGTTATCAGGTTTGACCAAGTGTTTGGTGGGAAGGAATAGAATTTAATATGTCTAATTAATTGGAATCTTCTTGTTTGGTTTGCAGCAGAATTGGAATGAAATGATGAAAAAAAGACAAAAATACCCTTTTGTTGATATTTTTAAAAAAATTAATTTTTTTAATTACAAATAACATTAATTTTGGAAGCAATAAAAATTTTAATTAAATTTCAGAAATTAATTAAAATGTTTAATCTCTCTCATCCTAGGCGACCCCCACTCTCACCCGCCCCTTCTATGCTCTCATCTTCGGCCAACCTTACCATCCACCCTTCTATGCTCTCATCTTCGGCCAACCCTACCATCCGCCCTTCTATGCTCTCATCTTCGGCCAACCCTACCATCCGCCCTTCTATGCTCTCATCTCTGGCCTCCCCTACCATGACCGTGCTCCACAGCTTTCGTCGGATATAGGTTGGAAAAACTCACTATGGGAACACAACCACCCTCTCCCTCCTCAATGGTCATCGCCCTTTCGTCTTTTCTTCTACCTTTCGTTGCCGCCACAACCATCGCAGATTCCATTTTTCGTTTTAGGTTTTTCTTGTTCTCAGATTTGGTTTTAGATTTATGGAGTTGCAAGGTCAAAGCTTCAAAGAGGGAAGGGGTTTAGAGGATGTTGGCGACAGTGAACCTAGATCTGGTTTGTTTGAACATTTAATGAGGAAATTGGAAGCAAGCAATAATCGATCAAGAGCATCATAAGCAGAAATCGGAAGCAAGCACTAATCATGAGGGTATTTTTGTCATTTACACATTTTCAAATGGAATGAATTTCAATTCCATTAGTTTTAGGAATGAATGGTGAAATCCTCAAATGATGGAATCTTTGGAATTCAATTTCATTCCATGGGTAACCAAACATTGGAATGAAATTTGATCAATGAAATTGACCATTCCAATTCCACCAGATTCCGACGAACTAAACGCCCCCTTAGCATGCTCACTAAATATCTTGAACAAACGTGAAAACCAAGAAGCATAAGTGTGTATACTTATATTATTCATGGAACATTACTACTTAGACCTATCATCTCGTAGATTCATACAGACCAAATCATGTCTGGTAAAAGATAGGTGTCAATGCAATATTGGATGCGATTGGGTTCGAGATCCCCTACATTTATGCGAGCTCAAGTAAGCTCACTTGACTCGGATTGTCGTTGATTGGTGAAAGCAATCTTTTGCGAGCTTAAGATTCATTGCATGTCGTGCGAGTTTACATGAGAGAGATAGCTTTACCCGTGTTAATGACATGTGTGACCTTTTGTGCAACCTCATAGTCATGGCTCACCGCTCACTTTTGGGCTTGTGTTCATCACAGAGGCATGTTCTGATCTGAATATTGAAATGTTTTTGTTTATATAAAATCTTAAAAAAAATCATGTATATGTATTTCTTCTATTAAATCTTTCAATTTATTGACCATGTAAAATCTAACGTCATAAATATATTTAATCTTGTTTTGAAAAATCGTTTGTTATATACAAAAAGTGTGACTTGGTCTTTTCATTTATTAAATAAAGTTAGAAAAACTATATATATATATATATATATATATATATATACACACACTAGAAGCGTACTCGCGCAATGCAGCGAGATACATCGTGATTTTAATATTTCATTTTATTCTTTATCTCAGTCGATGTTAT